ATTCAGTGAATCCTTGTCTGTAAATAAAATATAAAAAGGGCTGAGGATATAGCTCAGTGGTTAAGTGCCTCTGGGTTCAATCCATGATGTCAAAAAAATAAAATAAATAATAATTAAATTTGGTTAACTCCTTTTATTTCCCAGGTCAAGCTTACAGCTTTAAATTTGGTTCTGATATGACCAGGTTACTGCCTACATGAGAAAACTACTCTAATTCCTTTATATACTTTTCAAAAGAATGGGAAGGGGGTTGTAGTTTAGTGGTATGCATTTTCCTAGTCCTGGGTTTAATCCCCAGTGTCTCAAAAAATTAAAAAAATAAAAAGGAGGGGGAATCGTGTATTATAAGAATATTTATCATAAATCCTAAAAGCAGGGCAGTTCCAGAAACATTTTCAACAGCCCTACTAAATGAAGGATGATGTTCATGTGGAGAGAAATGTAATTTTTAAAGCATTTATGTTATAGGCATACATCATGTATCAACTCCCTATACCTCAATTACATCATTTCAGTATTTTGCATATTGCGTTCTTCAATACTTCCAAGACTTTACTGAGTGTAATTCTTTAGAATCTAAGCACCATATTTGTTCTAATTAACTCAAATGATAATCTGAATCTAGAATCTTACTGCAAATCAGTTTGTGATCTTGGATCATCATTAAATATTTTCTTAGATCCTTTGTTTTTTTTTTAAGTCAAAAATCAGAAGAAAAAATACTGGCTGATTTGGATGGTGGCAATAAACTAATGAAGCTTGCATTTCAAAAACAAATGAAATTATGGAGTGATAAATTTTGCCTTTGATGATCTTAAAAAACTATACTTTCCAATTCAAAATCATACTGGAGACTGATACAGACTTGAGTTTTCTAAAGCAGAAATGACAATACACTGACTTAAAAAATATAAATTTGATAAGTACACATCAAAATTTAGATGCCTAGAATTAAAATCCTACTACTTAAAAAAAAATTAATCACAGATCTGGGCCAGCTGGCATGCATAGGCAGGATTAACCACAAGCTTTACCTTATGATGCCAAAAAATTTAAAGGCTCTGATAAAATAATTTTAGACAACTCTGATTTTTAAAAAGTCACCAAATTTACCTGGGTGCAATGGTGCACAACTGTAATCCCAGCTACTAGGAGGATCAACAGTTCAGGGTCAGGATGAACAATTAAGGGAGACCCTGTCTCAAATAAAACACAAAAACACCACAAGGGATGGGGATGTAGCTTAGTGGTAGAATGCTGCTTAGCATGTGTGAGGCCCTGTGTTCAATCTCCAGCACCAAGGAGTCATTAAATTTGATTTTCTTATCCTAACCTGCCATTTTATATATGCTTTTCTAAATAATGAAGCAATAGGGCCTATCATAAAGGACTTAGTATATAAAATATATTGAGTTCAAATGTAATAAAACATTTTTGTATTAATAACAACTGAAAAGCCTGGTGTGGTGGTGCACACCTATAATCCCAGCACTGGGGAGGCTGAAGCAGGAAGATCAACTGAAATCAGGAGTTCAAGACCAGCCTGGGCAACATATTGAGATTCCATTTCAAAATAAACAAAACACAAACAACAAAAATGATGCATACCTGTAACCCCAGCTACTTAGGAGGCTGAGGAGAGAATTCTGGGTCAGAAGCCAGACTGGGCAACACAGCAAGATAAAAAAAAAAAATTCTAGGGGCTGGGGATGTGGCTCAAGCGGTAGCACGCTCGCCTGGCATGCGTGCGGCCCAGGTTCAATCCTCAGCACCACATACAAAAAAACAAAATGTTGTGTCCGCCGAGAACTAAAAAAATAAATATTTTTTAAAAATTCTAAATATAAAAGCAATTCCAAGTATCTAGTACTAGAAAGAGAGGAAAAGTCTGATTTACCCATATTCTGTATGAGAACAATATACAAAAATAAAAAATTGGGGGGAGCTGGAGGGTGTAGCTTGGTAGTAGAGTTTGTGTGCTAGCATGGGTGAGGACTTGGGCATTCAAAAAGAGGGGGGGAGGGAGGGGGAGGGAGGAGGGAGGAGGGGGAGGTCTAATGGGCTCAGCAAGAGATACATGAAGTAGACACAGATATCATACACGATGTACCCAATTCAGGATAAATTAGTACATGAGTGAAAAAACATTTTTCCTCTCTTTTGTAGTTCATAGGCAAATAGAATACTTAAAGCAAGCAAGGTGGCACAGGCTGTAATCCCAGCTATGGAGAGGTTGAGGCAGGAGGATCACAAGTTACCTATCTCAAAATAAAGTTTAAAAAAGGTCTGTAGATGTTGGTCACTGGTAGCAGTACCCTGGGCTCAATTCCCAGTACTAAAATGAATGAATGAATGAATGAATGGAAGAAAGGAAGGAAGGAAGAGGGCTGGGGATGTGGCTCAGTAGTATTGCCAAGCATGTGCCAGGCCCTATTCAATCCTCAGCACTGCAAAAATAAACAATGAAAGAAAAAAGAAAATTGAATTCAGATTGATCTTGGCATTAATTATACTGGTATGAAAATCACAGAACATACTTTTCCTTCATATTAGAAAATTACTGATAACCAGAGCTAAAACTGGATTTTTTTTTTTAAACATATAGCAGGCTAGAAAAAAACCCCACAAAGATTCTAAATTAATCTAGTTACAGTACTTTTGTTACTAGTTGTTCTGTGGATTGAATCTAAGATCTCACACATGCTAATAAAGCCTTCCTCCACTGAGCCTCATCTTTAGCCCCTTAGTTTTAGTACTGATGTGTAATATTTTATGCATAATCTAGAAGTAGCAAAAACTCAATTTTTTCTCTCTAGTTCAAAATTCTTCCAATCTGCATCTATAATGTTATAGTCTTGGTTTTATACAATAGTCTTGTTTATTAGAAAAATAAGGTGGTAAAACATCACTCTATAGATGTACAACATCCTAATTTTACAGATGTGAAACAGAGGCCTGAAGACTTGTTGAAACTCAAGTGACTAATCAGCACAGGATCTAGACTTTTTTAACTCCCAGGTTGGTGCTCTAATATACCAAAATAGTTGTATACTATTAAATATTTGTTTAAACCAACAAACCATTAAGTAAACCACAAACCATTAAGTTTAACAGGAATATAAAATATGATTGGTTTGATATTAAACCAGATTTATATATTGCAAATAAAACACAAAATGTACATATAAAGCCAATGGCATCTTGAGTATAAGACCTTATTTAATCAAATTTACAGTGAATCAGAGCTCAACTTAGAACTGTTATATCTAAATACTTTCTAGCTTTGTTAATTTGTATGAAATTTGTTCTATTTAGATATTACTTGAGTTAAACACTTCAATTTTTAATAGCAAATTTATATTATTGCTTAGAATATTTGTACTTTCTAAATAAATGAATAAGCTCAGCAAATGACTTGCACCGAGATGACAGGCCTATGCAGAACAAGATGTCTCAATGTGTTTCTCTATTAGCACGAACTGAATTTACTGCATATAATAAATTCTATGTCTCTATATGTATGCATCTTTCAAAAGTAAGGAAATTAACTTGATAATAACTCCATGAAAAATAAAAAGCATAACCTAGACAGAAAAAAAATCAAATAAAAATTGAATAAAACATTTTATAGTAATATCTTTTGTGCAAAAAAAAAACATTGGGGAGATTTGCACATAATATGAAGTTAATTACTGTTTCAGGACTAAGGTTTCATTGCAGAATCTTGTGAATCTTTCACAAAAAAAAAAAAAAAAAAAAGAGACATCAAGGCTAAAAAGATCAAACATCAAGTGTTTATCATACCTTTTAGTCAATCAGTCTTTATTAACATGCAAGTACCATTTGCTGCAAGATACACAGATTTGTCTAGTCTTCATTCCAGTTTTATTTTAATGTTCTAAACTTCAGGTTACTTCTGGATCTAACACAAAGTAACCCACAAAAACTGGTCAAACTTTATTTCCAGCTCTCACCTTTAGAAACCATTATACAGGTTTATGATTGCTATTATTGGCTACTAAGTAGCAGCCTCCCACCTTGCTGGGGATCAAACCTAGTGCCTCAAAGCACTCTATCACTGAGCTATATCCCTAGCCCCAGAAGATCTTGTACTTGATACATATCTTCTAAAGTATGTATGTATGTTTTAGATTACTAAAAATATGTTTTTTAACTGCATTTAATAAATTGTAAAGTACAATGTTTAGGTTTTCTAAGAGAAAAAATTATTTTACGCTTTTTGCAGTTTTTCAGAAAAACTGGACTATATTTAGCTAGTCTTAACAATAAGGTGAAGACTTAAGTTTATAGGCCTCAAAATCAGTTTTGTTGTACTAAAACAGACAATACTACCCCCAACTTCAGTAAATCTTCTCCTAAGCCTACACAAAAATGCTGTCAGTTTCTCATGTTCTTTGTTTGCTTAAAAGCTGAATGCTTCCTCATAAGTCTGACTTCATAAAACCCACTGATTAAGGTACCATATTTATAGGAACATACTTTAATTAATAGAAGATAATTCATGTATTCATCTAAGTGTATTATAAGATTTTTTTTACTACATTGCTCAACATTTTTCATACTTTATAACATTTGATGGAGGAAGACTGGTATTGTTCAAAAAAATCTCGCTTTAAGATCTAGATAAAACTTATAGTAAGTATTTTAAAACATACTTAAACAAGAAGTATATTCACGGGGATCTATGAAGAATGAAAATTGCAAAGGAAGCTTGAAAGTTAATGAAAGTACAGTACTTTGGATTGCCCCAAATGCACAATGAACAGGATCTAAGTCGAAGTTTAACTTGTTGACCATGGCTTACAGTTCAAACAGTCACTAGTTGTACCTAGTGATCTTCCAAATTGTTTTTAAATAAAGTTCTTAAATTGTAGCAATAAACAAAACACAAGATACACTTAAATAATACTGCGGTTTATCAAAAAACACATAAGAAATTTCAACTCTCATTCTTTGAATTACAAAAATCAACTTTTGGCTAAGTTATAAACATGTTTATTATGTAATTATTTGCATAACTCTAGTAATGCTATCAGTGGCTATAGATCAGAATAAGTTTTTTTTTAAAAAAAACACTAAAAACAAAAATACATAGCCCCATTATTTACCTGTAGAACATGTTCGTTTATGCCTATATTTCAGCATTTATTGTATCATCGTTCTAATTTTAAAAGTCACATCCAAAGGATAAACAAAACCACCTACAAATTGGCATAATTGTTTATTTCTCAGTTTGTGAAAATGTCCTTAATTTGTTGATGTATGAAACAAATTTTAACTTTGATTGCTATGCAAAAGAACAGAAGAAAATCTGCTTTGCAATTAAATTTGTAGTTCAATTGCATACAGGCAACATGCTATATATGAAAAAATTACTAACTGAACTACAAATATTAAATACTGAAAAAAAATTAACAGTTTATTATAATTTATTTTATTTAACAATCTAGGAAGTTCGCAGCCATCAGTAGTTCCAATGCGATTTCAGGTGCAATTGGGAATTCGGGAATCTCGGTAGAGCTGTTAGTGTAGCGAACCTTGTAGGTAAAATACATGCATACTTTTGATAGCACATGAGATGGAATTTCTCTAAAATTGACCTCATTAGTTTCATTTTCGGCAAACTGACCTGTAAAACAAAAGGATTGTGTATGTTATGGGCTGTGAATAGTGTTCCCCCTCAAATTCCTATGTTGGAGTCTTAGACCTCCTAGTACCTCAGAATGTGAATATATTTGGAGATAGGGTCTTTAAAGAGGTGATTAAATTAAAATTGGTGGTAAACCAATAATTGGTATCCTCACAAGAGATAAAGGACACAGACACTGAGAGAAGACCATGTAAAGACATAGGGAGATGACCATCTAACAAGGCAAAGAAAGAAGTCTTAGGAGAATTCAACCCTGCCTACTGAGAATTTAATTTCAACTTCTATACTCCAGAATTGTCAGAGAATTAAGTTCTGTTGTTTAAGCCATCTAGTCTGTGGTACTTTGTTGTGGCAGTCCTAGCAAGCTAATAATTATTAAAAGAATAATAATAATAAAAAATCCTAATTGTCATCAAATTATTTAACTCTGATTTGAATATAAACAACAAAAATCTATTAAAGATAGAGTTTTGAGATTCATAAGACTGAATTTTAAGATTCTAATTCTGTCCTCATGGGTTAGAGACTTAAAATAGCTTTTCCTAAAATCTTGGTGGTCTGATTACTGAAGGGGAAAAAAGAAAGAAAAAGCTAAATCAGGAGTCAAGTCTTTACAGGTCATCAGGAGTCCTATGCAGTATTGAATTGCCATGTAAAAATAAAGTCAGGGCAAATCATAGATTTTCTAATTTGGCTCTTTTGGTAATGAGAGTGAGCATATAAAGAATAAAATCATAAGATAGATGCTTTTTAGCCTTGTGCATGCTAAGCACATGCTCTACCACTGAGCTACACCCTAGCCTGAGAAATATATATTCTAAAAAAATCTTCAGGCAAGAAAATTGATTGTTTCCTCTTTCAGTTTTTTTTAAAATATGATCATGTAATGGGATTTCCTCGTAAGACACTTCTCTGTATTTACTAATCATTTTCTTTGTGAGTATTTACTAATAATTCATTATCAGTTTTCAGTCATTCCTCAAAAAAATTTTTGGTAGTGCTGGGGGCTGAACACTTTTGTGCATGGAAGGTAAGCACTCCACCAATTGAGCTACCTTTCAAGTCCCATTCCTTACAGAATTTTTAGCCACATGAAAGTCACATCATTTAGCCTTTACTGATAGGGACAAGATTTTTAATGATTTTGCACTATCATGTATATTGAATATAAAAAGCATTTAAATCTCAAAATGCACTTTCTGAGGGCTGGGGTCGTGGCTCAGAGGTAAAGCACTTGCCTAGCATGCGTGAAGCACTGTGTTCGATCTTTAGCACCACATAAAAATAAAATAAAGATATTATGTCCACCTATAATTAAAAAATAAATATTTAAAAAAATACACTTTCTGAGAATGTAGTATTTTAAAAAGTTTCCAGTAGGTTTCTACTGGTTGGAGTGAGGTAAGAAGAAAGAGAGTAGGACTTAGCAAAGTAAATTTTGGTGTGTCAAAAATTTAAATTCCCTCTTTTGAATATATTATCAATAGGTACTTATTAACTTTTTGATACCAGACAATTTTTTAAAGGTGAAATTCATATAACTTAAAATCAAACATCTTAAAGTGTACTATTCAGTGGCATTTATACATTCACAGTGTTATGCAACTGTACCCTCCATCTAGTTCAAAACATTCATTCCCCATTACCCCCAACATCTAGCAAACACCAATCTGCTTTCTGTCTTTGTATTTACCTAGTCTGGACATTTCATATAAGTGAAATCATTACATATAATGTGACCTTTTTCATTTCTTTCATCGAGCAAGTTTTAGATGTATGTTCCCATTGTAGCATGCATCAATACTTCATTCCTTTTTATACAAATATTAATTTTGGGCTAAATATTTTCCTGCTCCCTCAAAGATTAAAACTCGTGTTTTTAAATTAAAGAAAATAAAGCTTAACAAAAGCAAAGGCTTTCTCATCATAATTTTAAAATAAAATTTTGTTGGCATTTATGATTTCTTACCCCCTAAACTATTTCTTAGCATTGTCCAGTAGAAAGCCTAAAATTGATTCAACCCAGGAGCATTAAGTACCCCTAAAAGCTAGACTGCGGTCCCTAAATACCATTTTCTAGCTGAAGAAAACATGGCTCTTGGGGAAAATAGCACATTCAGGACTGGGAAATACTGTATATGACAAACCTGGGAAATATTACAAAAAATAATATAGCTATCTAAGACTAAGGACATCATGTCCAAAGGACATAGGAACTGGGCTGGGATATGGTTCAGTGGTAAAGTGGTTGCCTAGCACACACAACGCCTTGGTTTTGATCGAGTCCCAGAGCACTGAAAAACAGAACAAACAACAAAACACTATTGTAAGTCACACTGAGGTAGCTCTTTCTGGCACAAAAATGAAGGAATTTTAGCATCAGTGAGAAAGACAGAACCAGGCACAATGGCATATGTCTGCAGACCCAGCTCTTGAGAGGCTGAGTTAGTGGGATCATTTGGGCCCAGGAGTTTGAGGCCAGCCTGGACAACAATGATAAGGCTTCATCACCCTACATCCAAAAGAAAACATCAAATATAATAAGTCAAAAGTTCAAATGATATATCAAAACTCAAAAATAAGAACAAAACACTATACTATTTGGAAGGTGAAGGAGAATCAATTCATTGATAAATGAAAAATTTTATGTACAATGAAAAAAATTCAAGCAATTATCTTGCTTTTCCCACACAGACTTTATTTCAAGGTAACTGAATAGTTTTTTTTTTTTTTAAATAGAATTCTAGCTAATAAATGCAGAAGAAATCACAGAATTAGTAAATCACTATTTTTAATCCCAAATGAAGTAAAACCTCAATAATAATCACAATGAATTCTAAAGCCATTATATGAAAGTCAGATTAGGGAATTTTTATGCATGAATCAGCTTGACAACCCTGGAACCCACCAGTCAATCCTGACTTGTAAAAGATGTGATATAGCTGGAATGGTGGCACATACATAATCCCAGCTACTCGGAGGCTAGGGGAAGAGGATTAAAAGTTCAAGGCCAGCCAGTACAACTTAGTGTAACCTGGTCCAAAACGGAAAAAAAAGGGGGGTGGGTGCGCGCGGGGCCCAAGGATGTAGCTTAGTGGTAGAGCATATGCTTAGCATGTAAGAAGCCCTGGATTCAAACCCTAGTACTGCACCACAAAAAAACACAAAAACAAACAAAAAAAGGCCACAAGAGTTTGCAAGTGAAATGACAAAATGTCAGGGAATTTCTTGAAATACTCCCAAAATAGGGATAGTAGGTAAAACAAGATATGATGGGCAAAATATTAATAACTACTGAAGTTTGGCACATGGAGGTATATTACACGAATGCATTTCTGGTTTTGCTTTAAAATTTTCATAGTAAAAAAATATAGATAAGGAATAAGGGATTCAAGCAACTGAAACAATTTTCATATAGATAAACAGAATAGAGAGCCCAGAAATAAACATGCACATCTCTGGTTAACCAATTTTTACCAAGGATACCAAGAACATTCAAGAGGGAAAAGAGTGGTTTCTTCAATACACAAGTAGTAGATATCCTCATGCAAAAGAATGAAGTTTAACTCTCACCCAACACCATACACAAAAATTAATCTAAAACAAAAAACCTAAGTATTATAAGAGCTGAACCCATAAAACTCCTAGAAGAAAATGCAGGGGAAATCTAACTTAATTAAATCTTCATGTTGATGGATATGGTTGCAGAAAGGACATAAGAACAAAAATCAAACAATTATACTTCATCAAAATAAAAAAAAAAAAAAACATACGCTTCAAATGACACTATTAAAAAAAAAACAAAAAAACTAAAGACTTGATAGTTTAGTGGTAGAAAGCTTGCCTGGCATGTGCGAGACTGGAAAATGAAGGAGGGAAGAAGAAAATAGGGGGAAGGCAAGCAAGCAACCCATGGAACAGAACAAAATATTTATTTGGAAATCATGTATTAGATAAGGGACTAATATCAAGAATGTATAAAGAACTCTAACAAAACTGGGCATGGTGGCATAGGTCAATAATCCCAGCAAATGCAGGAGGTTAAGAGGCCAACCTCAGCAACTTAATGAGACCCTATCTCAAAATAAAAAATAAAAAAAGAGCAAGGATGTGGCTCTGTATAAAGTTCCCCTGTGTTAAACCTTTGGTACTAAACAAACAAACAAAAAAAGAAAACCAAAACAGCTGGGCGCATGGGTGCAGGCCTGTAATCCCAGCAGCTTGAGGGGCTGAGGCAGAAGGATCAAGAGCTCAAAGCCAGCCTCAGCAAAAAGCAAGGCATTAAGCAATTCAGTGAGACTCTATCTCTAAATAAAATACGAAAAAAAAGGCCAGGGATGTGGCTCAGTGGTCGAGTGCCCCTGAGTTTAGTCCTCGGTACCAAAAACCAACAAAAAGCCAACTCTTACAGGCTGAGTGTGGTGCACATCTATAATCCCAGCTACTTGGTAGACTGAGGCAGAAAGATTGCAATTAAAAGCCAGGCTGGGCACTTATCGAGACCCTGTCTTAAAATAAATAAAAAGGGATCGGGGATGCTACTCGGTGGTGGGGAGGCCCTGGTCAAACAAAACAAAACCAATAAAAACTTAAAAACAAACAAACAACTCTTAAAACTCAACACCAAAAATGGGAAAAAGGCTTGAACAGACATTGACATTCCTCCAAAGAAGATATACATGAAAAAAATACAACATCATTAATTATTAAGGAATGCAAATCAGAACCACAGTGAAATATCCCTTCATACTCACTAGAAAAACCGACAACCAAAAAGGCAATAATACATTATAATATAGGCAATAATACATATTGGCCAGGATACATAAAAACTGGAACTCTAGTATACTATTGGTAGAAATGTGAAATGATTCAGCTTCTGTGAAAGGAATCTGATAGTTCCTCCAAAAGTTAAATGTAGAATTACTATATGATCATACAGTTCTACTCCTATATATACATGCAAAAGAACGGAAACCAAGTATTCAAACAAATGACCTGCATACAAATGTTTAAGGCAGCACTATTCATAGTAGCCAAAAGGTAGAAACAACCCAAATATTAATCAACTAAGACTGACAGATTTTAAAAAGTTCTATATTCACACAATAGAATATTATTCAACCATAAAAAGGACTAAAGTAATATATATGTTACCACATATATGAACCTTGAGAGCATTAATGTCAAGTGAAAAAAAGCCAGATACAAAAGGTCACATAGCGTATGATTACATTTATATGAAATGTCCAGAATAAGAAAATTAGAAAGCATATTGGTTGTCTGATGTGGAAAGGTGAGAAGAGAAGAATGATATGTAGTGATAGCTTAGTGAGTATGGGGTTTTATTTTAGAGTGATGAAAATGTTCTGCAACTAGGCTCCACAACATTGTGAACACAGTAAATGGCAATGAACTGTACACTTTAAAACAGTTAATTCTATACTACGTATTTTTTTTTTTTAATTTTAAATTTATTTTTAAGAAAAAAATGTTAAAAATAGAGATCTGGGAGATGTTGAACTTCTAGAAATAACCTTTCTATCAAACTAGAACAAAATCACTAGAATCTACAGTAAAAGATGACAATGGAAACTAAATGTAAAAAAAAACAAACCTTCCTATTACCATGTAATCAATTTGTTTTTGTTGAAATTTATAGGGTAAATAAATGAAAATAGAAAATGGCACACACTAATTTTTTTCCCAGTACAACACAACCAGGAAATAACATTAGAAGACTTTTTCTTTAAATAGGACTCATTTGATTAAACTTAAAAAAATACATTTATCAAACATTAAGGAAAAGAACTACTTACCTGGGCCACTCAACATGGCTTTTATTGTTCCTGATGTTAGTGCATGTTCTCTTTTCACAATAAATTCATGACCATCAGAAGATATCAATTTGACATACATGGCATCAGGGCCTTCACAGCCACCATAGGTTTTCTCTTCTCCATCTAAAGTTGGTAGTAAAATGATTATTTTTTTAAATTTAATGATTCTTGAATCACACTAGTATACTAAAACCAAACAGTTTTAATATTTGAGAAGTTCAAGACAATAAACATTTCTGGAAGGTAACAGCCACTGAGACTTCAAAGTTTTTTTCCTTTTTTTCAGTGCTGGGGATTGAACCCAGGGCCTTGCTCATACTAGGTAGGCACTCTATTACTAAACCACACCCTCAGCTCCAAATTTAAAGTTTTTAACACCTTGTTTTATCATTCTCTAAATATTTTCCACTGTCAGCATAAACTCTAGATCAAAGGATATATTAGATGAAAACTTACCAATCTTTTTCAAGGAGGTACTGACAAAAAAATTTTTTTTTGGTTGCCAAAGCAGCACAATCAAATGCGAAGATAAAGATAAAATATTAAATAAATGACTTAACCCTATTTCCTGATATACTTTTCTAGAAATAAGATGCATAGTGTTTATACGCCAAGTCCCAAATTCTATAAGTTAAGCCTTCTTTTACTTGGCATTTTATTCCTGATACATAAAAACAATCTTTTTTTTTTTTTTTTTAAATATTTTTAGTTGTAGATGGACACAATACTTTTATTTTATTTGTTTATTTATATGTGGTCCTGAGGATTGAACCCAGGGCGTCACACATGTGAGGCAAGTGCTCTACCACTGAGCAACAACCCCTGTCCCCATACAAACAATCTTAAAAGACATTTACTGACCAATTTAAATTATTGCATGGTTTTAACATAATGAATTTAGACAGAATCAGTCTTTAAAAATTCAAAGTAGAGGGAACTGGGTGTTATAGCTCAGTGATAAAGTGCCTACCTTCCATGCTCAAAAGCCCTGGGTTTGGTCCCATACACAGCAAAAAGAAAAGAAAAGAAAAAAATTCAAAGTAGAGATGAAAACAGAGAATGCATACTACCAGTTATCCCCATTGCTACTGCACTGGTTTCAGCCACGGTAGTCCACTCAATTTAACTTTTTTTGTGGTACATATATACATATTTTTGGTACATCCCCTTAAGATCTTTTCTCACATACATACCTTTTACAATTCTGTACTATCCTAGAACTTTATCTTTTATGGTTACTAACATACCAAAGTATCTTAAAGCTTACTTTAAAAATATAGGAGGGTTAGGGTTGTGGCTCAGTGATAGAGCGCTTGCCTAGCATGTGTGAGGCACTGGGTTCAATCCCCAACACCATATAAAAATAAATAAAATAAAGGTATTGTGTCCATCTACAATTTTTAAAAAAATTTTTAAAAAATCTTTAAAAAATCCACTTACCGATTTGTTAATAGTTAACTCAGAAAGCCCTAAAACTAAGATTAATAAATATTAAAATCACCTATTACTGCAAAAAATATTTACTCTGAATATAATCACAAGGAAACAGACAAATTTAAAATTGAAAAATAGTCTTTAAACTATTGGCCTACTCTTCAAAACAGTCATGAAAAGTCCTTCTCCCCACCCCTCAAAAAGTGGGGAATTGTTTAAAAGAACGAGAGAGACAAGTTAATGCAATAAGTGATCCCTGACTGGATTAATAGATTAAAATAAGCAAACCTGCTGTGAAGAATACTACTAAAACTGTTGGGAAATTCCGAATATGGACTAAATTAGGAGATAAATGCTTAAGTGTTTAGATGTGAAGTGTTATTCTATAAGTCTTAAATGAGTACAGAAAAACACAAACAAACATGCAGAGAAAGCAAATTGAGACAAAAGATTAAGTATCCAATGAAAGCTATGATAGTGTAATTAATTTTTCGTAATAAAGTCTGGGGAACTTATAAAGATGTAAATAACTTCTAAATGATAAGACTATTCAAGCATACAGAATTTTAACAGTTATTGTCAATGTCTAAGAACAAAACTAAAAAGCTATCAGTTATTTCAATTTATGTTTCTAATTCCCACCCCCAAGTTAAACCATTTTATATTTATTGGGGAAGTTTCAAATTTCTTTTCCTTTTCCTTTTTTGTTTTTTTTTTTGCAGTGTTGGGTTTTCAAGCCAGGGCTTCACACATGCCAGGTAAACATTCTACCACTGAACTACTTCCTGAGCCCTCAAATTTCTTTTTTTTTTTCTTTTTAAATACCTTTATTTTATTTATTTGTCTTTATGTGGTGCTGAGGATCGAACCCAGGGCCTCGCAAATGCTAGATGAGCGCTCCACCACTGAGCCATGCCACAACCCCATGAGCCCTCAAATTTCTTAAGGTACAATTACTCACTGCATTTTACCAATTTGATCTGGCACAATATTGTTACTGATGTGCCTTTCAGGAACGTACAATAAACACAAGTCTTAACTTAAACAACTAATTTCAGTTTACTCTAACCATTTTCTTACTTTCATTCAATGACTCTGAAGGTCTGTCTTTGAGAAGAAAAAATAGCTTCTACTAATTGAAACACAAAATTATCTTTACATAACTTACCCATTATGTTCTTATAAATTCTAGTTTGGTTCCACAGGAACGTGAGTAGTTTCCTGAAAATTTAACAACACCACAATAAGATTAATGTTTTTGCTCACTGTTATTTAACACATTCTTGGTGTTAACAGTTTAAGGACTCTCCTTCTTATGCATGGGGGTTATAACTCCAACATACACTTCTATCAACCAAGTAAAGGATATCAAAATGTTTTGTGAATTGATCAGATGGGGATTCTGAATTGTAGGAAGATTATTTAAAATAGAAGTATAATAAATAACCATTCTAAATTGGGGGTTGGTGGTACTAAGGGGAGGTTGTAAAGTATGTGCCATGTTGAGTTAATACACATGCTTAAAAAAGTACAGCATATGAAAATTCAAACATGCATCATAATGATAAAGAAAAATGCTACACTGAGATAAGGCAGTGTTTCTTTATTATTATTATTATTATTATTTTTTTTTTTGAGTAAAGGTCTCAGCCAATAATCTAAAGAAAACTATGGGTCTATTGTAGAACAGAAGGATTTGGCAGGCCATTGTCCCTCCTTTCTGGAAAGTAGCCTCTAAACCCTTAAAATTTCCCTAATGATAACAGTGTCTTTGTTATTCATTATTCACCTACTTTATGCTAACCAATTGACTGGAAGGCTTCTAGATATTGTAAGCTAACTAGAGGACTCAGGCTGGAGGAATCTGAGGACCTTGGAAAAAGACTTCAGATGGAGGGGGCTGAGGATTGGGTTCAGCCTTTTTGGTCATGATTCCATCAATCATGTCTACATATTGGGAACTCAATAAATACCCTGGATACTGAACCTTGTGCTTTCCTACATGTCCATGTGCCAGCCAGGCAATGACTCCTTACTCAACACGGTAAGGATACCAGAAGCTCTGTATCCATTTACTATATAGTGGTAGACAGTAAGCAAATATTGGTTTCAAAGAATGAAAACATGATATACCCAATAGGAAGAAGCTTCCACAAAAATTTAAAAAGACAAGACTTGGGGTCTGGGGCTGTCACTCAGTGGTAGAGCATTCGCCTAGCACATGCGTGGCCCTGGGTTTGATCCTCAACACACGTAAAAATGAACGAATGGAATAAAGGCATTGTGTCACACTATAACTAAAAAAAATATATTAAAAAAAAGACTTGTCTTCTACTTATATTAAGTGTGTACATCTACATAATCTTAGTCTTCCATTCTTTCTGTATATAGGCTACCTAAGATCTGAAATTTAACAACAAAATGGTAAAAATATACAGTTTGAAGCTGGTCATGGTGGCGCATGCTTGTAATCCCAGCGGCTCAGGAGGCTGAGGCACTAAGCAACTCAGTGAGACTCTGTCTCTAAATAAAATACAAAATACGGCAGGGGATGTGGCTCAGTGGTTGAGGGCCCCGCAGTTCAATCCCCAGTACCCACCCCCTCCAAAATATATATAATTTGAAAAATCTTAATATTTCCCAAAATAACAGATTCCTAAAAAAAAAAAGGTCGGTATCCCAGCACCCGCCCTTCAAGTAATTTATACTTTGTGTGTATGTGGTACTGGGAAGTGAACCCAGGGCCCCACACATATTAGAAAAGTACCTTACCACTGAGCTATACCCGCAGCCCAATAATTTGTATTTTAACAACATGACAGCATTTCTTGAAAGGGTCTTTTTTATACAAATATTATTTGTCACCAATAGGAAAATAGTATATCCTGGAGCTGGGTTTGTGGCTCAGTGGCAGAGTGCTTACCTAGAATGCCATAAGGCCCTGGGTTTGATCCCTAGCACATGCACGCATGTACACACACATATTCTAAGAACTTACTGAGCAATATTTTAATTCTAGCCTTAAGGAATCAAGAAAATGAAACATGACATTTTAGTATAAGAACTTGGGAGATAACCAATCAAATCCCTCAGTTTAGGAAAGAAGATGTTCAGAAAGCTTGAGTGATTTGCTCCCATAGTGACATAGTGGTAGAAATCAAATCTCTTGAGCTGATGGTGGAAGCATATGTCTGTAGTACTAGTTACTAGGGGGGTTGAGGCAGAAGAATCACTTGAACCCAGGAGTCTGAGGCCAGCTTTGACTACATTGTAAGACCTTAACCCCCCAATCAAACCTACCTTAGCCTTGAACACTCTAAACAGGAACACATTTAAAGCACTAGTTTTAATGTGAGCTAAAACAGAGAAAAAGGGCAAAACTGGCATATTATATTTTAACCAACAAATTGTGGGTCTTTAATAATTGGTAAAGATTGCAATAAATGCTTTACAGACAGTATCTTATTTAAATAACAGCTCTTCTACAGAATTATTGTTCTTAATGCTGGCTCCAGTTAAACTTATTTTCTACTTCTCTTGAGAGCTGCTGATATAAATCCTTAGGTAGTTCTCTAAGCTTTAAAAATAGTATTATGCCATGTTATAATAATAGGCAATTAAAATATTCATCAATGTCATCTTCTTTTTACAGTACTTTGTAATCCTTATTTAAAAAAGAAAAAAATTCTAGAAAGACTTGAAGTACAAGAATTTCAAGTTTCAACTTTTCTATCTGGACAATTTCCAGAGTAAAACATCTAAAATGTTTATTTAACTAGCAGTAGCTAAGCAACCATGCAGTCATCTTAGAAGCCCTTTGGGTAGCAACAGTTTCTCTACAGACTTAATATAGTAAATCAGTTTTACCATTTATACAACAGAGATTAAGAAGGGAGGGAAAGGTTCACTGTCACTAACAGAGAAAAGACTAAATCAACATTAAGAATTAAAATTTCCTAATTCTTAGAGAGAATTTAAAAATATGTGAAACGTAATTAAGTTTGTGACCCGTGACTTACTTGTAGAAATGTAAGTTTGGAGAGGAAAAAAAAATTCAGTTTGAATATTTGTTGGATAACTAAGCTGAGTTCTGGGAATATGAACTAAACAGGTTAAAGATGGAGGTCAGGCGTGGGGATGTATCACAGTGGTAAAGCACTTGCTTGCCTAGCATGTGTAAAACTCTAGGTCCAATCCCCAGCACCACCACAAAATAAATAAATAAGAAAAATTGCTTGGTTCCAAAACTAATCACAAAAAAATGCAAAGTTTACTTTTAAAACCATCTAAAATTAAGTGGAGGAGGCAGGGATGGATAACACTAAAGAAATGGCTATACAGTCTTGGAAAGCATCAATAGTATCAATTAAAAATCTTTGTGGAATTTACTTCTTGGCATTTACATTACAGAAACACTAGCACTGTGTGCAAAGGCAAGGAGAATAGTTACCACAATATGTACACATGAGAAAACTAAAATGCTTTAAAAGGTTCATCAATTAGGGCATGAGCTAAATGAAAATATTATACCCATAGTTTGAAATATTGTGGGGCTGTGAATAAGGTAAAAGTCTACATATAATGACACAAAAGGCCCACAAAATAAACCACTGACTTTTAAAAAAGTATGTTAGAATGATAAGTACAATTTGATGTCCCTTAGGTAACAGAAGTGGCTTCTCACCTTCTAATCTGCAGATAAATAAGAATGTGTTGGGGTTGGGGATGTGGCTCAAGCGGTAGCGCACTTGCCTGGCATGCGTGCAGCACGGGTTGGATCCTCAGCACCACATACAAAAGAAAGATGTTGTATCCGCCGAAAACTAAAAAAATAAATATTAAAATTCTCTCTCTTTAAAAAAATTAAAAAAAAAAGAATGTGTGAATACATGCTCTAAAGTGTATATGACTAGAAAAAGGTCTTGAAAGATAGTTTCCAAACTGATAATAATCCTTATCACTGGCATAAAGACTGGTAAAGAGAGACATAGCCAATAGAGAATGTAGGCTTGTCTGAAATATTCTTCTAAATGGAGTATCTATTCATGTATTTCATCTATGATTTAAAATTGATTTTTTAAACGCCCCGCAAAAGCTCATATGTCTTTAATGCTTTGATTCCCCAGTTGGTGGCACTATTGGGAGGTTGTGGAAACTTTGGAGATGGCTTTTCATTAAGTTTGGGCTTGTCTTTAGCTCCTCTCTTGCTCTCTCTCCCTGGTCTTAGATGCCATGAGGTGAGCAGCAATGCTTTACCACTCCTTTACCATGATGCACTGCCTCAAAACAGGCCCAGAGAGATGGGGCCAAATGACCGCAGACTGAAACCATGAGCCACAATAAATTTTTCCTCCTTTAAAGTTGATTTTTTTTTTTTAGGTATTTTGTCACAGCAATGAAAAGCTGACAAATGGTTGACCTGATGATTCTTAACTTGATGTAAGAATGTAATGATCTCGAGTCACACTCTTGCAATTCAACTCACTCATGAGACTGAAGCAAGAGGATCACAAGTTTGAGGCCAGCCTCAGCAACTGAGCAAGAACAGTCTCAAAAAATAAAAAGAAGCAAAGTATGAACCCTATAACAGACACAGTCATGTTAAGTAGTCCTTAGATATAAAGTGAATGATGTGATGGTCACTAATTATTTATGTTTTGGTGGGTTACGTCTGTTTCATAGCAAATTGCAAAAATAAGTATGGCTTTTCTGAATCCTTATACCAGTAAGTAAATCAAAGCTTATGTATAGGAAAAAACAAAAACAAAAACAAAATGGCTAGAAAGGAAAATCTCTTCAACATATGATTCAGGAACAACTAGACAGCAATCTGGAAAAGAACTGTTATTCTCCCCATACATAAAAATCTGAGATATTTCACAGAGCTAAATGTAAAAGGCAAAATAATAAAGCTACTAGAAGAAAACAGAGCATTTTCATAATATTCATGTAGGCAAAGATTTCTCATAAAAGATACAGAAAGCACAAATTTTAAAAACTGGATTCCTTAAAAAAAAAAAAAAAAAGCAAAAACACCCATTAAAAAAACAAAAAATAGAAGAAACCCACACGCCATGAAGAAATCAAAAAGCAAACTCACAAACTGAGAGAAAATGAGCATTTCCCTATATGTACATTATACCTCAATTTAAAAAATATAAGGTGAAAGAAAAAGTTTAAAAAAATTATTGATGGCTTTTCTAAAGTTGTATCTCTTTTGG